GGGGAGCATGAGTCCTGCCAAGGAAGGCACTTTTTGGCAAAATCTAAATATGTCCAGATGGCCGGCATCAGCACACTGCTGATTTCCATCTATTCTATTATTCATTTCAGTGAACGAGCATTCAGACTTGGTGCCTCAATCATTTCACCTTCCTGTACGTGCCAATATCAGTTTAAGTACCTCGGTCTCGTTTTGATATCCTCCTTCAAACATTAGAAATCAAGACTTTCCTAGATTCCAATGAAATCTAAGCCATAAAGCTTGGGATCTCCCTTCCTTTTTGGAATCCAATCTGACTAAGACTATGATAAAAGGATGGTAATTAAAGATGCCTTGACTTTATAAATACAATTAGTAGATATTGGGTAACTGAGCTGTGAACAGGTGGGATCAAGAAATGGATCAGGACTTCTGACCACTTTAATTACACAGCACATTGATAGGTGAATGTATGTTTCAAAAACCTTCCACATTGATTGTTACTGCCTTGGCAAGAGCTTTATGTTCTCACTGTGCCAGGAAGTATATATGCTCCAGTCTTACATAGATGTTGCTCAGGAGTGTCCGCTCTGCAGGCCCAGGAGTGCAGGGAGATCACTAGGTTACCTTTCTTAGGGTCAAATTGAGAGAGACTCACAGTGTTCTAGTGTACTAATGTACACATCAGTAAGTTAACCTCAGATACCATTTCTTTTTGTTAGGATTAGTGAACTTGCCCTGAGATGCAGGCAACAGGCCACATGAGGCAATTTGTCAATATGCAACTGGACAGTCATTCCCCTCTTTGCATAGATGCACAGGCTCAGCATTATGGGGATAACCACTCACCACACATAATTGGCATGAAATTTCAAACACATGATTGTCATCCCAAATTATAAAGGCCTCGATTCTTCCTGTGATAAGATACGGTAAGAGAACAGGTTAAGGCATCCTATGCATGTGGTGCTTGGGCAGTTAAGAAACTTGAGGTTATACATCCTATATTGGTGAGTACTGACTCAGTGATGTCATAGGGAAATAGGAAAGCTCAGTGCAGAGCAGATGAGATGTCTTGAACCTAGTGAGACACAGTGAAAGATCAGATGGTAAAACGTTTTCACCAGACCTATAATGTGCCCTTCCCATGGTCTGTCAGCTCAAGCATTGAATGCCTGCAGTGAGGATGAGGATGAAACCAGTGATTGGTTAATCTTGGCTAGGTGTGGCTAAAGATAACTGCATTTGCAATTTATCATTATCTACCCCAAAGCACTAATAAACAATGCACGCAATCATCACATTGTAGATATAGGGAATTCCAAACCTGAGCATTGCGATTGTGCTGACACTGACTTGTAAATATGGAGCCCATGAATTTTTTCAATGAGATAACTGATTCTGCTTGATACCCTCAGGAGGTTAATGCCCACTGATCATTTGTGTGAAGCTTGTCGAGATACTTTCTGAATAGATGGTCTTTGTCATCCTGGTAAGTAGCACTGTTTGTGTCCCACTAGCATGTATAGTTATGCCTTCTGAGGACACAGGTCTATGATGACAAACCTACGTCATGAAGACAGGTGATGACATAAAAATCATGCTCAGGTTCCAGCTGCTGAGGCCCAGGTTAAAGGACAGGGATGAAATGGGTGACTACTCCCATCAGCCCTTTCCCATAGGCCTGTGTACAGGCCCTCATTCACCCAGCAGTGTTTCCCTTCTGGGGAATCCTGTTAAGTCCAGTTGCTCTTCATTAGGGGAGCATGAGTCCTCCCAAAGAAGGATTTTTGGCAAACTCGAAGTATGTCCATATGGCCGGCATCAACACACTGATCATTTGCATCTATACTCTTATGCATTTCAGTGAACGATGATTCAGTCTTGGTTCCTCAATCATTTCACCTTCAGGTACGTGGTAATTTCTCTGTATGTACCCAGGTCACGTTTTGATATCCTCCCTCAAACATTAGAAAGCAAGGCCTTCTAGGATTCCATTGAAATCTAAGCCATAAAACTTGGTTGCTCTCTTCCTTTTTGGAATCCTATCTGACTAAGACCATGATAAAAGGGTGGTAATTAACGATGCCTTGACTGTATAATTCCAATTATTAGATATTGGGTAACTGAGCTGTGATTTTCGAAGAGGTGGGATCAAGAAATGGATCAGGACTTTCAGACCATTTTAATTACCCAGCATATTGATAGGTGAATGTTTTTTTCAAATACCTTCCACATTGATTATTACTAACTTGGCAAGAGTTTTATGTTGTCACTGTGCCAGGAATTATTCATGCTCCAGTCTTGCATAGATCTTGCTCATGTGTGTCCAGTCTTCAGGTCCAGGATTGCAGGGAGATCACTAGGTGTTCTTTCTGAAGGTCTAAAGGGAGACACACACTCACAGTGTTCAAGTGGACTAATGTACATCTCAGTAGGTTAAACTCAGATACCATTTCTTTTTGTTAGGATTAGAGAACTTGTCCTGATATGCAGGCAACCGGCCACATGCGGCAATACGACAATGTGCAGCTGGACAGGCATTCCCTCCTAGGCATATATGCTCATGTTCATCTTTATGTGGATACCCATTCACCACATATAAGTGGCATGAAATTTCAAACACATGCAAGTCATCCAAAGCTATAAAGAACCCCATCCTTCCTGTGATAATGTGGGATAACGGAACTGGTGAAGGCACCCCAAGTTTGTGGTGTTTGGGAACTTAAGAAATTTGAGTTTATCCATCCTACAATGGTGAATATGTAGTGAAGTCACAGGGAAATAGGATAGCTCAATGCAGAGCAGATGAGATATCTTGAACTTAGTGAGACTCAGTGAATGATCAGATGTTAAAATGTTTTCTCCAGGCCTATAATATGCCCTACCCATGGTCTGTCAGCTCTAGGATTGAATGCTGCCAGTGAGGATGAGAGTCAAAACAGTGATGGGTTAATATTGGCTAGGTGTGCAATAGATAACTGCATTTTCAATTTATCATTAACTACCCCGAAGCACTGATTATCAATGCACACAGTTCATCACAATGTAGATATTGGGAGTTCCAAACCTGAGCATTGCATTTATGCTGAAACTGACTTGTAAATTGGGATCCCTAAATTATCTTCATTGAGATAACTGATTCTGTTTGATATCCTCAGGAGGCTTATGCCTGCTGACCATTTGTGTGAAGCTTGCCGAGACATACCTTCTGAATAGATGGTCTTTGTCATCCTGGTAAGTAGCACTGTTTGTGTTCCACTAGCATGTATAGCTATGTCTTATGTGTAACGGGTCTATGATGACACACCTACGTCATGAAGAGAGGTGATGACAAAAATATCATGTTCAGGTTCCTGCTGCTGAGGCCCAGGTTAAAGGACAGGGGAGAAATGGGGGACTAGTCTCATCAGGCCTTTCCCATAGGCCGTTGGACAGGCCCTCATTCACCCAGCAGTGTTACCCTTCCGGGGAATCCTGTTAAGTCCAGCTCCTCTTCATTAGGGGAGCATGAGTCCTCCCAAGGAAGGCTCTTTTGGCAAAATCTAAGTATGTCCAGTAGGCTGGAATCAGAACATTGCTCATTTCCATCTATTCTCTTATGCATTTCAGTGAACGACGATTCAGACTTGGTGCCTCAATCATTTCACCTTCAGGTATGTGGCAATATCAGTGTATGTACCTAGGTCTCGTTTTGATATCATCCTTCAAACATTCGAAAGCAAGACCTTCTAGGATTCCAATGAAATCTAAGCCATAAAACTTGGGACCTCCCTTCCTTTTTGGAATCCAATCTGACAAAGACCAGGATAAAAGGTTGGTAATTAAAGATGCCTTGACTTATAATTCCAATTATTAGATATTGGGTAACTGAGCTGTGAATTTTTGAACAGGTGGTACCAAGAAATGGATCAGGACTTTCAGTCCATTTTATTACACAGCATATTGATAGGTGAATGTATTTTTCAAATACCTTCCACAGTGATTGTTACTACCTTGGCAAGAGTATTACGTTCTCACTGTGTCAGGAATTATTCATGTTCCAGTCTTTCATAGATGTGCCTCAGGATTGTCCAGTCTGCAGGGCCCGGAGTGCATTGAAATCACTTAGTTACCTTTGTGAGGGTCAAAAGGGAGACACACACTCACAGTGTTCTAGTGGACTAATGTATATATCAGTAGGTTAAACTCAGATACCATTTCTTTTTTTTAGGATTAGTGAACTTGTCCTGATATGCAGGCAACCGGCCACATGAGGCTATACGAATATGTGCAACTGGACAGGCCTTCCCATCTTGGCATATATGCACAGGCTCGGCATTATTGGATACACACTTACCACATATAATTGCCATGAAATTTCAAAACACACGAAAGTCATCCCAAGATATAAAGCCTTCATCCTTCCTGTGTTAAGGTAGTGTAAGAGAACTGGTGAAGGCATCCCATGCTTGTGGTGCTTGGGCACTTAAGAAACTTGATTTATACATCGTACAATGGTGAGTACCTAGTGATGTCACAGGGGAATAGGATAGCTGATTGCTGATCAGATGAGATGTCTTGAACCTAGTGAGACACAGTGAATGATCAGATCTTAAAATGTTTTCACCAGACCTATAATATGTCCTTCCCATGGACTGTTAGCACAAACATTGAATGCTGGAAGTTAGGATGAGGATGAAAACAGTGATGTGTTTAGTCAAAAGATAACGGTATTTGCAATTTATAATTATCTACCCCGAAGCACTGATTACGAATGCACACAAACATCAAATCGAAGATATTGGGAATTCCAAAGTTGAGCATTGCGATTATGGTGACACTGACGTGTAAATTTGGATCCATAAATTTTCTTCACTGAGATTACTGATTCTGGTTGATTCCCTCAGGACTCTAATGCCCGCTGACCATTTATGTGAAGATTGCTGAGACATACATTCTGAATAGATGGTCTTTGTCATCCTGGTAAGTAGCACTGTTTGTGTCCCACTAGAATGTATAGCTATGCCTTTTGAGGACACGGGTCTATGATGACAAACCTACGTCCTGAAGAGAGGTGATGATATAAAAATCAATGCTCGGGTTGCGGTTGCTGAGGCCCAGGATAAAGGACAGGGGAGAAATGGGGGACTATTCCCATCAGGCCTTTCCCATAGGCCCGTGTACAGGCCCTCATTCAACCAGCAGTGTTTCCCTTCTGGGGAATCCTGTTAAGTCCTGTTGCTCTTCTTTAAGGGAGCATGAGTCCTCCCAAGGAAGGCTCTTTTGGTAAAATCTGAGTATGTCCATTTTGCCGGCATCAGCACAATACTCATTTCCATCTATTCTCTTATGCATTTCAGTGAACGATGGGTCAGACATGGTGCCTCAACCATTTCACTTTCAGGTACGTGGCAATATCAGTGTATGTACCCACGTCTCTTTTTTATATCATCATTCAAACATTAGAAAGCAAGAACTTCAAGGATTCCAATGAAATCCAAGTCATAAAACATGGATTACCCCTTCATTTTTGGAATCCAATCTGACTAAGACCATGATAAACGGATGTTAAATAAAGATGCCTTGACTTTATAATTCCAATGAGTCGATACTGGGTAACTAAGCTGTGAATTTTTAAACGGGTGGGAACAAGTAATGGATCACGACTTTGGGTCCATTTAATTACGCAGCACATTGACATGTGAATGTATATTTCAAATACATTCCTCATTTATTGTTACTACCTTGGCAAGCGTTTTATGTTCTCACTGTGCTAGAAATTATTCATGCTCCAGTCTTGCATAGATGTTTCTCAGGATTGTCCAGTCTGCAGGCACAGGAGTGCAGAGTGATCACTAGGTTAACTTTCTGAGGGTCTAAGCACATATACACAGTCACAGTGTCCTAGTGGACCAATGTACACAACAGTAAGTTAAACTCAGATACCATTTATTTTTGTTAGGATTAGTGAAATTGTCCTGATATGAAGGCAAAAGGCCACATGAGGCAATACGTCAATGTGCAACTGGACAGGCCTTCCCCTCTTGGCATATATGCACAGGCTCAGCATTATTGGATACACACTCACCACATATATGTGCCAAGAAATTTCAAACACATGAATGTCATCCCAAGATATAAAGCCTCCATCCTTTCTGTGATAAGGTAGGGTAAGTGAACTGGTGAAGGCATCCCATGCTTGTGATGCTAGGGCACTAAGAAACTTGAGGTTTACATCCTACATTGGTGAGTACCTAGTGATGTGACAGGGTAATAGGATAGCTCAGTGCTGAAGAGATGAGATGTCTTGAACCTAGTGAGACAGAGTGAATGATCAATGGAAATATGTTTTCACCAGACCTACAAAATGCCCTTCCCATGTTCTGGCACCACAAACATTGAATGCTGGCAGTGAGGATGAGAATGAAACCAGTGATGGGTTAATCACAAGATAACGCCATTTGCAATTTTTCATTATCTACCCCGAAGCACTGATTATCATTGCACACAATCATCACATTGTAGATATTGGGAATTCCAAACCTGAGCATTGCGATTATGGTGACACTGACGTGTAAATTTGGATCCATAAATTTTCTTCACTGAGATTACTGATTCTGGTTGATTCCCTCAGGACTCTATTGCCCGCTGACCATTTATGTGAAGATTGCTGAGACATACCTTCTGAATGGATGGTCTTTGTCATCCTGGTAAGTAGCACTGTTTGTGTTCCACTAGAATGTATAGCTATGCCTTTTGAGGACACGGGTCTATGATGACAAACCTACTTCCTGAAGAGAGGTGATGACATAAAAATCAATCTCGGGTTGTGGTTGCTGAGGCCCAGGTTAAAGGACAGGGGAGAAATGGGGGACTAGTCCCATCAGGCCTTTCCAATAGGCCGGTGTACAGGCCCTCATTCACCCAGCAGTGTTACCCTTCTGGGGAATCCTGTTAAGTCCTTTTGCTCTTCTTTAGGGGAGCAAGAGTCCTCCCAAGGAAGGCTCTTTTGTCATAATCTAAGTATGTCCGTATGGCAGCATCTGCACAATGCTCATTTCCATCTATTCTCTTATACATTTCAGTGAATGAGGGGTCAAACCTGGTGCCTCAATCATTTCCCCTTCAGGAACGTGGCAATATCAGTGTATGTACCCAGGTCTCCTTATGATATCATCCTTCAATCATTGGATAGCAAGACCTTCTAGGATTTCAATGAAAACTAAGCCATAAAACTTGGGATCTCCCTTCCTTTTGGAATCCAATCTGACTAAGACCATGATAATAGGATAAAGATGACTTGACTTATAATTCCAATAATTAGATATTGGGTAATTGAGCTGTGAATTTTTAAACAGGTGGTACCATGAAATGGATTAGGACTTTCAGTCCATTTTATTACACAGCATATTGATAGGTGAAATATTTTTCAAATACCTTCCACAGTGATTGTTACTACCTTGGCAAGAGTTTTATATTTTCACTGTGCCAGGAATTATTCATGCTCCAGGCTTGCATAGATGTTGCTCAGGATTGTCCAGTCTGCAGGCCCAGGAGTGCAGGGAAATCACTATGTTAACGTTGTGAGGGTCAAAACAGATACACACAGTCACAGTGTTCTAGTGGACTAATGTACACATCAGTAAGTTAAACTCAGATACCAACTTTTTTGTTAGGATTAGTGAACTTTTCATGATATGCAGGCAAAAGGCCACATGAGGCAATACGATAATGTGCTATTGGAAAAGCCTTCCCCTTTAGGCATATATGCACAGGCTCAGCATTATTGGATACACACCCACCACATATAAGTGCCATGAAATTTCAAAGCATATTTTGTCATCCCAAGATATAAAGGCTTCCTTCCTTCCTGTGGTAAGGTAGTGTAAGAGAACTGGAAAAGGCATCCCATGCTTGTGGTGCTTGGACACTTAAGAAACTTGAGGTTATGCATCCTACAATGGTGAGTACCTAGTGATGTCAGAGGAAAATAGGATAGCTCAGTGCTGAGCAGATGCGATGTCTTGAACCTAGTGAGACATAGTGAATGATCAATGGTAAAATGTTTTCACCAGAACTATAATAATTCCTTCCCATGGTCTGTCAGCACAAACATTGAATGCTTGCAGTGAGGATGAGGATGAAACCAGTGATTGGTTAATCAAAAGATAACAGCATTTGCAATTTTTCATTATCTACCACGAAGCACTGATTATCAATGCACATAATCATCACATTGTAGATATTGGGAATTCCAAACCTGAGTATTGCGATTGTGCTGGCACTGACTTGTAAATTTGGATCCATAAATTTTCTTCATTGAGATTACTGATTCTGCCTGATACCCTCAGGATGCTAATGCCCGCTGAACATTTGTGTGAAGATTGCTGAGACATACTTTCTGAATAGATGGTCTTTGACATCCTGGTAAGAAGCACTGTTTGTGTCCCATTAGAATGTATAGCTAAGCCTTCTGAGGACACGGGTCTATGATGAGAAACCTATGTCCTGAAGAGAGGTGATGTCATAAAAATCATTCTCAGATTCCGGTTGCTGAGGCCCATGTTAAAGTACAGGGGAGAAATGGGGGACTAGTCCTATCAGGCCTTTCCTATAAGCCCGTTTACAGGCCCTCATTTACCCAACAGTGTTACAATTATGGGGAATACTGGTAAGTCCTGTTGCTCTTGTTTAGGGGAGAAATAGTCCTCAAAAGGAAGGCTCTTTTGGCAAAATCTAAGTATGTCCATATGGAGGCATCAGCACAATGCTCATTTCCATCTATTCTCTTATGCTTTTCAGTGAACGAGGGGTCAGACATGGTGCCTCAATCATTTCACCTCCAGGTACGTGGCAATATCAGTGTATGTACCCAGGTCTCGTTTTTATATCCTTTTCAAACATTAGAAAGCAAGACCTTCTAGGATTCCAATGAAATCTAAGCCATAAAACTTGGGATCTCCCTTCCTTTTTGGAATCCAATCTGACTAAGACAATGATAAAAGGATGGTAATTAAAGATGCCTTGACTTATAATTCCAATTAGTAGATATTGGGTAACTGAGCTGTGAATTTTTGAACAGGTGGGACCAAGAAATGGATCAAGACTTTCAGTCCATTTTATTACACAGCATATTGATAGGTGAATGCATTTTTCAAATACCTTCCACATTGATTGTTACTACCTTGGCAAGCGTATTATGTTCTCACTGTGTCAGGAATTATTCATGCTCCAGTCTTGCAGAGATGTTGCTCATGATTGTCCAGTCTGCAGGCCAAGGAGTGCAGGGAGATCACTAGGTTAGCTCTCTGAGGGTCTAAACGGATACACACAGTCACAGTGTTCTAGTGGACTAATGTACACATCAGTAAGTTAAACTCAGATACCATTTCTTTTGGTTAGGGTTAGTGGACTTGTACTGATATGCAGGCAACAGGCCACATGAGGCAATATGTCACTGTGCAACTGGACAGGCCGTCCCCTCTTGGCATATATGCACAGGCTCAGCATTTTTGGATACCCACTCACCACATATAAGTAGCATGAAATTTCAAACACATGAATGTTATCCCAAGCTATAAAGCCTCCATCCTTCCTATGATAAGGTAGTTTAAGAGAACTGGTGAAGGCATCCCATGCTTTTGATGCTTGGGCACTTAAGAAACTTGAAGTTTTATATCCTACAATGGTAAGTACCCAGTGATGTCAGAGGTAAATAGGATAGCTCAGTGCAGAGCAGATGAGATGTGTTGAACCTAGGGAGACATAGTGAATAATCAGGTGGTAAAATGTTTTCACCAGGCCTATAATATGCCCTTCCCATGGTCTGTCAGCTCAAGCATTGAATGCTGCCAATGAGGATGTGGATGAAACCAGTGATGGGTTAATCTTGGCTACCTGTGGCAAAAGATAACTGCAATTGCAATTTATCATTATCTAAACCGAAGCACTGATTATCAATGCACACAATCATTACAATATAGATATTGGGAATTCCAAACCTGAGCATTGAGATTGTGCTGACACTGACCTGTGAATTTGGAACAATAAAATTTTCTTTACTGTGACAACTGATTCTGCTTGATACCCTCAAGAGTCTGATGCCCGCTGACCATTTGT